AGTTGGTAGAGAGTTACACAAAAAGCCTTGCATTTGTGATTGCTTCCAAAGGTGCTTCTATAACATATTGAGTTCAATGATCTAAATACTTAGAAAATCAGATTCACTTGATAATTTCTGTGTTCTGTGTGGTAGTTTAGAAAAAGCTGCTATCGTGTGTCATGGATGAGATATACCAGAAGAAGGCATAGTGTCAGTCAAGTAAGGGACAATCGTTGAGACAGTGCTAACCAGTGTTACCAGTGCAGAAGTAATGTTATTTGTGCTACTAACTTTACTCAGGACTAACAGACTCAATGGCAGTTTGTGAGATGGGTACATTTATATATTGTAACAATGTGAGGTTGGCACAGTATGGCACTGCCTGAATGAGTCCAATAGAAACTTCAGCTCCCACAATTTTCCTGTTGGGATTGGGAGGAAGATTGGAGGATACTGGTAGGTCACGAGGTCGGAAGGTCATTGAAGAAAATAACACAGGAAGGAAAAAAACAACCTCTTGCTCTTTTGGCAATGAAGGATGCTCTAAGCAACCATTTAAAAAAACAAATAAGATTGAGGGTAGGGGAAAAAATAAAAATCTTCCACATGAGGAAGAAAACGAAACCAGTGGACTGAGAGAGGAGTCCACTATAGTCTGTGTGCTTTTTATGGTAGTCGGCAAGCAGGTTCATTTTCAGTAAAGAATATAATAATAATAATAATAATAATAATAATAATAATAATAATAATAATAAACTTTATTTTACATAGCACCTTTAAAGGTGGCTTCTCAAAGCGCTTTACAGAATGACAACAACAATAAAAAAATAAAAAGAATACACATGATAAAACACAATTACAATATATAGAGAAGACCATGGATGGTGGTACTAAGAAAAGTAGAAGCAGAGGGGTGAAGAATGGAACCAGTTAAGTAAAGGCTCTTCTAAAGAAGAAGGTTTAGAGTCTGGATTTGAAGGAGTTTAGAGAAGGTGACTCTCTGATATCCCTGGGCAGAGAATTCCAGAGCCTGGGTGCATAACAGGAGAAGGCCCTGTCACCCATACAATGTAGACAGGCTTGGGGGACAGTAAGGAGAGCGAAGGTTGCGAGGTGGGGAGTAGGGCGATAATAGTTCAGACAGGTCCTGAGGTGCCAAGCCATGCAGGGCCTTATAGGTGAGCATGAGGATTTTAAAGTTCACACAGAATTTTACAGGAAGCCGGTGCAAGGACTCCAGGATAGGAGTAATGTGATCACTTGCACAAGACATGGTCGGGATTCTAGCTGCCGAGTTTTGGACATACTGCAGTTTGTTCAAAGCAGATTTAGATACCCCAGTGAGCAGAGCATTTCAGCTCGAGAGAACACAAATGTGTTGATCAGCTTTTCAGCCACAGTTAGTGATAACATAGGGCGTAGTCTAGTGATATTTCTGAGGTGAAAAAAATATGTTTTGACAATATGCTGCCTATGTGGGTCGAATTTTAAGCCAGAATCGAAAATCACCCCCAAGGTTTTTCAATTGAGACTGAAACTCATGTACAGAACTATCTACAGATAGGGTTACAGGACTTAACTTAGTACTGCAAGGATGGAGTTTGCGTGTGCTTTGTTTTTCTTTTTAACTGTTAAGGTTTTATATAGAAATCACTCTGCAAAATAAAGATGTACCCCTACATCTGGGTAAAACACATTTTAGCCTTAGCTTTGCACTGGAATAGTGGTCACATACAGATAGGTGGGCAGTCCACTGAAAGGGCTTCCACTTGATGAAACTGCACTAATGAAAATTTTCAACAAATCCTAAACAACTTATGCAGAAATAATGTAAATACATAAAACACAATGGTGTGTCACTCACACATCCTAATACAATTTTCTTTTCCCAAAGCTTATCAACACCATTCCTTAGGCAAAAACTACAACAACATAAAAAAAAACACAGCTGAGAAGCGTTCTAAAAAAATCTAAAATAACTCAAAATCCCCAATGCTCAAAAGCTTCCCAGAGAATTCATGAAAAAAGTATAAGGACTCCAAATCTGCTAAATTTGCTCGGTAGTATGGTGACCGAAAGTTTACACAATAGTCTATACAGGGTTTTACTACTGCATTGCACGAGTTTAACAAAAGACACCTTGATTTAAATCCTGCACTTTTAAGTAGTTTATATATCTCAATATTCAGTTTGCTTTTTTCATTGCTTCCCTATATTGCATGCCCACCTACTCATCCATATTCTGGCTGTGGGCGCAAGGCAGGATACACCCTGGATGTGATGCCAGTATTCCCATATTGTCAAGAAAAAAAAAGTGTTTCTCATAAGTATCATCTTAAACATCACCGTTTCCTTCCAAATCATGTTTTTCCTGCCTTCATGCTGTTCCCTACACTGATGTTTGCCCCAGCCTGAATATGGTCTAGTCTTTCGTCTTTTTGAGATACTTTTGCACTTTCTACAGTTCTTGCTAATCCTCCTTTTTTGGCATCATCTGAGAAATTGATGAGTTTGTTAACCATTTCAGAATTCAATTTCTCTACTTATACCATTTTTATAAGGTAAAAAATGACAATTTTTTTTTAAAAAAAAACAACACTTTTAGAATAACATCTTATTAATGAAGTAAGGCTAAGCCCGTTTACATCTATATTTAATAATAATAAGCCAACATACCTCTCTATCCAAAGTGTGAGAGTATTGTATCTGAAGATCCTTCAGCAGCTTTTCTAGTCTGTTCTCTCTCTTTTGGCCTACGCTGTCCTTGAGGCTCTGGATATCAGCACGTCTCTGGCCCTCAGCCTCCTTCAGTGTGGCCTGTCTCTGCTGGTACTCCCATACCTGGCTGTCTGTGCCCTTAGACAGAGGCTCGGGACATGGGGGCACATAGACCACCAGTTCAGTCACTGTGCTTTCAACAGTCCTCTCTGCACACAGAACAGACTGATACAAGCAGTAGTGCCTGACGTAGGTGTCCATGAGGAATTCAAAGAAGGCTTGGTGGTGATACGGCAACAAGCGAGGCCCACATTGTGACAACTTATTCTGGATGAGGCTGATCACTTGTGATAAAGCTACACCTACGCAAAGAAAAGACGTTTTAAAAAAGACTGGTAGATGAAAATACCTTCGCTTATCTAATTCTGGTCTCCTGTCTGTCCCCCAAGCCAGTCTTCACTCTATGGGTGACAGAGCCTTCCCCTGTTATGCCCCAAAGCTCTGGAACTCTATCCCTTAATATATCAGTCACCTTCCCTGAGCTCTTTCACATATAGACTCAAAACCTTCTTTTTTAGAAAGGCTTATATTTAACTGGTTCTGTGTACCCCTTGACTTTCCTACTGTATTCCTTACCCCCTTTTACTATCTCCTAGCAATGTGTTTTTTTGTCGTTTTCTGTAAAGAGCTTTGGGAAACCACTTTTAAAGGCACTATATAAAAATAAAGTGTATTATTACAATAATTATATTTCCTATGTAAGGGTACCTACAGGTATAAGATAAGAAGAAGGTACCTTTACTTTCAGTGAGAAGTTCTTCTGCTATTCTTCCAACCTGTGTTACAGCCTGCCAGGGGAAGCCTTTTTTCACAGCAAACATGACATTGTCATAAACAAAGTCAAGACAAACACTTTGTCTCAGTTCCTGATCCTCACTGGACTCTTTCCATCTTAACTGCTTCCTTAAATGTTGGAGGCCATCTTGTCTCTGTTTTGTCCAAAACAAAAAGGAAAAGATACATTTTATTAACCAAATCATTTTATAATTTCAAAAATATGTTCATTGTCTTTAGAAAATACAATAAATATTTTATTTTATAGAATTTTAGTATTTGCATAACAGACAATAAAGCTACGTGACAGTCCAGAAAAACATTAATCTTCATTTTGCTTTGTTTTCTCTTACTTCATGTATTGTTACACTTGTTGTTGCTTCATTTAATTACAGAGAATATTCCAAAAAATGGAAGCTGATGAAAATACTTTAAGGCATTTAGTATATTGAGGGATATACAGTAGCAGTTAACTAATGTTAATTAGATTTATTTCAGAAGGTATAACATAATACATTTAAGACCTAGTACTACGATTGATACTCTTTCCCAGTGCAACTACCATTAAATAATAAAAGATAATTTCAAGTAAAATATTAATTTTGTACATCACCCAGCAAGAATCTTACACACAGCAGGACATGACCAACTCTCATCCGTCTCCTATGTAATTACTGAAACTTAGGCAAATGCAGATGATATAAAAAATTTATGGAATCGTGTTTGTGAGTGCGTTCTTCTACTTTTTGATACCTGGGCTGGAGTAATCTTTGCTGTGCTTCAATAATTTGTCATAATGTTTTGTATGTATAATGCTAAGTGCTAATTTGTCTGATGACCAAAAGACACTTACGTACGCACCTTTCAAAATAGACATTGTAAAAATCACCGGCTGTCTTCTCACTGTAATTTGCAATTATTGCAGTATTTAGCATAGATTGCATAGAAACGATAAACGAGGACGGACTCGAGTTTTGTACGTGTACAGTACCTCCAGTTTTACTATCTCTCGAATTGCAGCTGTTGTTAAGCACGCCATGGCTACTGCGCCCGTTTCGAGGCGTTCTTGTTTCTAGGGGCAACCACTGATTGCGAAACCACTGAGCATCCGGGTACTCCTGGGCGCCATGATTACCGACATGTGTGCTTGAGCTTTACTTACGTTTATTTATAATTAAAAATGTGCGCGTTTACACATTAGCTCCAAAAACCCTTTCAGAATTTCAGCTCGGAACACTGACGTAAAATAATCCTGCTTTGCCAGCGACTGCATTTAGTCTAACGTTTCCTTTTAATCACAAGCAGAAATAATGTTTCGTACTTTGTCCCTTGACCAATGAGGATTTTCTTGCAGGTGAAGTAAGCGGGATATATAGTATTAAGGTTGTTTGTCAACAATAGACCCATGGTAGAAAATAATAGTAATATATTGGTTAGACAACACATCAGTAGGAAAAATAAATTGAATCAATATCGGTCTTAAAGGCGAAGGTTGCGCTCATCTTGTATGTCAGGATGGCCGAGCGGTCTAAGGCGCTGCGTTCAGGTCGCAGTCTCCCCTGGAGGCGTGGGTTCGAATCCCACTTCTGACAAACTTATTTTTCTGTTATGACCATTTATACATTTTTAATTAATCAAATCTAAAAACGATGTTTATTTACTTAACTGTCATCTAAAGAAAATACCAATTCTAAATTCACTCTGTACTCTACTATATTAAGTAAAAGAATAGTATCGTTTCAGCAGACAGGTTCCACAGCCGAAACGTTTTGTCTCTTTTCCTTTCAGCATGCAATAAATCTTTAACTGTTCCTTTGCAGCCTACGAATGCTGACACGGCTATCTTCTTGAGGAAAATGTTATTTATATTATTTTATATAAAATAATATATATATATAATTTATCTTGAATTAGGATATCCCTACTAAATAATACAAAAGCCACATACAGAAATTATCAACATAAATTGAAATTAATCAGTTACATTTCTCTTTATGTAAATATTATATAATATTTAACTAGTCTGAAGTAATATGAAAAACAGATTGTAAACTGTACATTGAATTTTGCCTATAATTCTTTTTTTCTTTCTTGGCATGTTTTTCATGATCGTCTTATCTGTAGGCCTGGCTGTAGCATATGTTCCCGAATAAATGTCAGTAAATCCCAGGGAAGATAACTAATTTATTAAATTCCCTACAATTTAGAAACAGTAGCCTCAAATTACGTACTACTACGTGGAATCTGGGGGTTTTGTCTGACCCTGTGCTCTGTGTTCTTCTATAATTCTTCCCTTCATCTCAAAAACATTGCCAGCATTCGGTCTTTCCTTTACAGTATTACACTGCTGCAGAAATCCTGATTCATGCCTTCGTCGCATCTCGGCTGGATTACTGTTAATAACCTTTGCAGTAGTGTCCACACCTGCCCCCTCAACAAACTTCACAGGGTCCAAAACTCAGCTGCTCGACGTCTAACGCGTTCACGACTCCACTGGCTGCCCATTACCGAGCTAATTCACTTCAAAATTGTGCTTTTAACAATAAAGCCCTACACACCCATTCCCCTTAATACTTCTTAGCATCTCTTATTACCCCCTGTGTACAAAGCAGGGCTTCACACTCTGCTGAGGCACATCTTACAATACAAGCGTCTCGGGTTGAGCACGTTTAGCCGCCTTGCTCTATAACTCTGGTATTTACGTCCTTATACTTTCCCGTCATTTTTAATAAACGTTAAGTATTTTACTTTAAAAAAATGTAGGCTGAAGATTTATCTGTTTAGTCGGGCTTTTTAAAGTCTTTGCCTTTTCTTCTTTTGCCACGTTTATTTCTGTTCAAGAGTTATTATGAGTTTCTGTACGTCAAAAGTGTTTGGGGGCACTTCGGTGTGAAACAAAACGCACAAAAAAGAGAAAATAAATATGACTATAAGTCGTTTTAAATAAATCCTTGTTTAAAAGGTCCTGGATTACTGATGTGATTCACGCTGGACACAATGTCTCATTCTTCAGTCTGTTGTTGTCATCCTAAGGTTTTGAAATACTGCAAATCCTCGGTTTCGGACAAAATCTAAAAAGGGAGAAATTTTGTCTGTAAAATCAGAAATACCTGACTTTCCCCTTATCGATAAAAGCACGAATAATAAAACAAAATACTTAGGTTTGAAATTCAGGCATATCAATGGTGCCCATGTTCGGGTAGGTCAATTGCTTACGATGTGGGTCGTGTTTTGTATGATTTAGCAAATTTAATATATTTCTGAAACATGAAATAAAGAGCAAGCATTTTTATGCTACGAAAGGCACAGGATATGAACAATTTTCATTGACCGTTTTGATTGCAAATGTTACAATAATAATCAAAACATCCAGAAAACACATATACTGTACAGTATATACATATACTTGTATAAAAGTGTGTTTTGGGACAGAACAAAATATAGAATTTAACGGACATTCGTCAATAACAGTGACCCCTTCTCCCTTGTCTGTTAAACCTTGGTTTCCTGTACAGAAATGCTTGCAGTACCCTTTTCCACCATCAGAGGGGGACTTTGGTAATTGTCTCCCATGTAGTAGTTCTTTCTGGCGTCCTTCTCTTGTACTGTACTGTATGTGTCCTGTGTCTGAGTTTGGAACTAAAGTTTTGTTTGGGGGAGTTTTGAGTCACACTGTCTTTAGTTACCTTG